GTGGTTGCCTCACCTTGCCTTGTGGGTGGGTCACCCTGGACGGGAGTCTGTACCATTAGAGACCCTACAAGTGTCCCTATATTCCAGGGACAGTCCCGGATTTACAGAAGCCATCCCGGTTTCTGTGGCGCTGTGGGTTAAACCACAGAGCCTAGGACTTGCCGATCAGAAGATTGGTGGTTCGAATCCCCGCGACAGGGTGAGCTCCCGTTGCTCGGTCCCTGCTCCTGCCCACCTAGCAGTTTGAAAGCACCTCAAAGTGCAAGTAGATAAATAGGTACCGCTCCAGCGGGAAGGTAAACAGCATTTCCGTGCGCTGCTCTGGTTCGCCAGAAGTGGCTTAGTCATGCTGGCCCCATGACCCAGAAGCTGTACGCCAGCTCCCTCGGCCAATAAAGCGAGATGAGCGCCGCAACCCCAGAGTCGGTCATGACTGGACCTAATGGTCAGGGGTCCCTTTACCTTTTACCTTCCTTAGGTCCTAGGACATCCCTATTTTCATTAGATAAATATTGGAGGGTATGGAGTTATGTAACCCCTGAGCCAAGGAGATAAGTAACTAGACAACCTTTAGAAGACATTTGAAGGCAGCCCTGTTTAAGGAGTGTTTTTTTTTAATGTTTTATTATGTTTTTATATATGTTGGAAGCCTCCCAGAATGGCTGGGGCAACTGAGTCAGATGGGCAGGGTATAAAATTAATATAGAATGAAGGTAAAGGGAACCCCTGACCATTAGGTCCAGTTGTGACCAACTCTGGTGTTGCGGCACTCATCTCGCTTTATTGGCCGAGGGAGCCAGCGTACAGCTTCCGGGTCATGTGGCCAGCATGACTAAGCCGCTTCTGGTGAACCAGAGCAGCGCATGGAAACGCCGTTTACCTTCCCACCAGAGTGGTACCTATTTGTCTACTTGCACTTTGATGTGCTTTCAAACTGCTAGGTTGGCAGGAGTTAATATAGAAGAGGATGTCCCTATTTTTATCGGAGAAATGTTGGAGGGTATGCCATTACCTGGTGAGCTGGCCGGACTAGGCCTAAAAGCAAAAGTAACCCCAGAAGACCTGTGAGTCCTTCCTCACTTTGCACCTACAACAGAGGGGAAGGGAGCCGAGAGGACTTTGTGCAGGCTGCCTGCCTTGCCAAACGCCGCTGACAGCCTCCTCATTAGCAAGCGGCTACCCCCTGCGAGGAGCCGCACGCTTTGCTCCAGAGCCTCCCTTCTAATCTACTAAATGGCCTGCGCTTGGGATCTCAGGCTGTTGCCATTACAGATTTGCTCCGCGCGATGGGCCCCTCGGGAGGCGGAGGCGGGGGGCGGCCGGGTCCTTGAGTAAGTGGCTGGCGTGACCTCACTCGCTTTCCCGGGGGATATGAGATCATCCGAAATGCCGAAGCTCTCCAAAGCCCTTCGATTTGCTCAGCGAGAGAGAGAGAGAGAGCGAGGAGGACAGCTTTGCCGGGTGATCTCATCCTGGGGGACCCCCGGGGGGGGAGGGAGGGAGGGGGCCGAGCCTGCTGTTCTCCTCCAGGACCCTAATGGGCTTAATCCCCCTGGTTTTCGCTGGCAGCAAGGAGTCAGTATTGGAGAATGGATGGAAATCGGCCGTGTAAACATGAGTTACCTCTTTTCTTTTAAATGTTTCTCAAGTCTACAAAAGCAGCAGTGTGAATAACTCCCCCAGTATATAAATTCAAGCTTCTCCTCTGCTGGTGTGTGTGTGTGTGTGTGTGTGTGTGTGTGTGTGTGTGAAGCCCCCTGTTCTGGGAGGCACAGGGGGACTTAGGAGATTTAGTTTGTGTATTCTGTATGAGAATTGCCTCTTATCCTATGTAATTTTAGCAGATTTGACGGTCTATGTAGGACGCGGGTGGCGCTGTGGGTTAAACCACAGAGCTGATCAGAAGGTTGGCGGTTCGAATCCTCGTGACGGGGTGAGCTCCCATTGCTCGGTCCCTGCTCCTGCCAACCTAGCAGTTCGAAAGCACATCAAAGTGCAAGTAGATAAACAGGTACCGCTCTGGCGGGAAGGTAAATGGCATTTCCGTGCACTGCTCTGGTTCGCCAGAAGCGGCTTAGTCATGCTGGCCACATGACCTGGAAGCTGTACGCCGGCTCCCTCAGCCAATAATGCGAGATGAGCGCCGCAACCCCAGAGTCGGTCACGACTGGACCTAATGGTCAGAGGCCCCTTTACCTTATTGTCTATGTAGTGATTGTCAGTGTTTTCGGATGATGCCATGGTCTTTGGCTACTGCAATAAAGTCTACAGTGATGACACAGGGAGCTCTCTGGTCAACTCTGACTGGCAGCAGCTCCGCAGGATTTCAGACAGGATCTTTTTCCAGCCCTGTCTTGGGGGTTGAACCTGGGACTTTCCCCATGCAAAGCGGATGCTCTAGTGCTCAAATGTGCCCCCCCCAATAAATGTTCTAGTCCTCATGGTTCTGAATAATAACCATCACCTGTTTTGCCCACAGAAGGTCCCCTGGAAACCCCCGGAAATTTAGCTAGCAGCCAGTATGGAGAAGACTGAACTAGATGGACCAGTGACCTGATAAGGCACATTCTGATGTTCTTAAGAGAAGGGTTGTAGCTCAAAGGTTAGAGCATCTGCTTTGCACATAGAAGGTCCTGGGTTCGATTCCTGACATCCCCAAGTAGGTCCGGGAGAGAGAACCGCAGCCAGGCAGTGTCGCTGAGGTGCAAGTGGCCTGACTCAGTATAAGGCAGCTTCCTCCTGAGCTTTTGACAGCTGCCCGGTGGGATATAATAATAATAATAATAATAATAATAATAATAATAATAATAATAATAATAATAATATAAATTTATTATTTCTACCCCGCCCATCTGGCTGGGTTTCCCCAGCCACTCTGGGTGGCTTCCAACAAAGTATTAAAATACAGTGGTCTGTTAAACATTAAAAGCTTCCCTAAACAGGGCTGCCTTCAGATGTCTTCTAAAAGTCTGGTAGTAGTTCTTCTCTTTGACATCTGGTGGGAGGGGGTTCCACAGGGTGGGTGCCACCACCGAGAAGGCCCTCTGCCTGGTTCCCTTTAACTTGGCTTCTCAGAGTGAGGGAACCGCCAGAAGGCCCTTGGCACTGGACCTCAGTGTCCGGGCAGAACGATGGGGGTGGAGACACTTCTTCAGGTATACTGGGCCAAGGCTATTTAGGGCTTTAAAGGTCAGCACCAACACTTTGAATTGTGCTCAGAAACATACTGGGAGCCAATGCAGATATCTCAGGACCGGTGTTATGTGGTCCCGGTGGCCACTCCTAGTCACCAGTCTAGCTGCCGCATTCTGGACTAGTTGTAGTTTCCGGGTCACCTTCAAAGGTAGCCCCACGTAGAGCACATTGCAGTAATCCAAGCGAGAGATAACTAGAGCATGCACCACTCTGGCGAGACAGTCCGCAGGCAGGTAGGGTCTTAGCCCTCATAGCAGATGGAGCTGGTAAACAGCTGCCCTGGACATTTTAGTTGATTTGAGCCCTCCCCACAACTTGAGCAGACTGGGCACCCTCTCCACAAACATCTGGAGGGCCGTAGAGATAGGAGAAGGCTGGGACAAAGGCGAGAGGCACAGCACCCCCTGGGACTGGAAGATATGACGACTGTATTTTTGAGCCGCCTTCCTCTTCCCAGGAGGGCAGCCAGCCAGGAGGTAAACACTGATCTAAATTGCTTTGCAGGTCCCGCAGCGGTTTGCTCTGTTAAAGCCGAGCGCGTCGGGACAGATGCACGGGAAAAGATCCTGGTCCTGGGTTTTCAAAAGGGCCCGAGTCCCGCCTGCCAGGCTGCTGAGCTCCTGTGAGTGGGTGAGGGGGCCTCGGAGCATAGCTGTCAACGTTTTCCCTTTTTAAAGGGAAATTCCCTTATTCCGAATAGGATTCATCACAAGAAAAGGGAAAAGTTGACAGCTATGCCTGGGAGCCGAGCAAAGCAGTCAGTTGTTCACTCTCTTTATTACAACACTCAGGGACCGATGCTCAGAAAGAAACTTCATACGAATGTAGGAAACAATCCCGATCAAAAGAAAATAGAAAACCATAGCCATGGAATTACTTATAACTGTATGTCGTATTGTAGAGCAGTGTTCCCCAACCTTGGGTCTCCAGCTGTTTTTGGACTACAATTCCCATCATCCTTGACCACTGGTCTTGCTAGCGAGGGATGATGGGAGTTGTAGTCCAAAAACAGCTGGAGACCCAAGGTTGGGGAACACTGTTGTAGAGTGTCTGGTACAGAAAACAAAATTAGCGGCCCGGGAGGGGAGGGGAACTGAGAAGCAGAAGGCGCAGTTTGTTAGCTTTGCCGAAAGGCAGGCTTCATCCAGCCCCCCCACCTCGAAATGTGCTAGAAGGTCAATACAGGAACAACGGTTTTAGAAATGGGTGCCTGAGTTTTGACTGGTGTTTCCCTCTTCCCTCCTTGTTCCTTTTTCCTCGTGTGTCATGTTTTTCTTTTAGACTGTAAGACTGCAGGGGCAGGGACTGTCTGGTTGTAACAGATCATACGTAAGCCACTGGGGGAGCCTTTGGGACTGAAGAGCAGGGGACAAGTACTTTAAATCAGGGTTTCCCAAACTTGGGTCTCCAGCTGTTTTTGAACTACAATTCCCACTAGTCCTGCTAGCTAGGGATGATAGGAGTTGTAGTCCCCAAACAGCTGGAGAGACAAGTTTGGGAAACCCTGCTTTAAATAAACAAAATCAGAACTTCAGATTAACTCCTAGCAAGTTCTACATACAGGAAACACCTGTTCAAAAGCTCTTTCTTTCCTTAATATGATATGCTTTAAACATGGTACTTTGAAACCTCAGATGAAGCGGCAAACCTGTTTATAGTTCAGTCCAGGTTGCTGCAGAGGGGTGTATGTGAACAGTTGGGTGTAATAAAGGAATAAATTAACTGAGCAACCTGGATTTGCTAGTTCTATGGTTCCAGGTGATAGCCTGGAAGTAGCCTTACCTGAGTTTCCCTCTCTCCTACAGGGCAAGTTCTACCTGGTCATTGAGGAGCTGAGCCAGCTGTTTCGCTCCCTGGTCCCCATCCAGCTGTGGTATAAATACATCATGGGGGACGACCCGTCCAGCAGCTATTTCCTCGGGGGGATTCTCCTGATCTTGTACAGCCTCTGCAAAGTAAGTGGCCGGCCTGAGGGTCAGGGGTGGGGAAAGCTTTAGGCCACTTACAGTCTAACCTACCTCACAGGGTTGTGGTGGGGATTAAATGAGGAGGAAGGAGAACCAGCTGCTCCACTTTGAGCTCCTTGCAGGAAAAGTGGGATATAAATGTAGTATTATATTTTTAATTTTTTTTAAAATCCCATCAAGTCATGAGAAAAACCATTTTCTGCTCGAGACCCTGGAAAGCTGCTGCCAGCCAGAGTAGGAAACATTGGTCTAGATAAGACAAGTAGCCTGATCTGGGATAAAGCAGCATTCTGTGTTCCTTTGCGAGGACGTCAGCGCCCATCACACTGCGCTAGAGTGCAGGTTTAGTTGCCAGTGTTGGTTTTATCAGCCTCTCAGCAGGCTGCCATTCAACAGGCGAAGCTTTGATCTCGCTTCAGAGAAAATGCTGTCGCTTTCCTTGAAAGACAGAAATAGCACCTCCTCCCCCCCCTGCCCCCTCATCCTACGGTGAATTTCTACCTCTTTTTGTTCCAGTCTTTTGACATCTGCGGTCGCGTGGGAAGTGTGAGGAAAGCACTGAAGGTCCTTTGCACCCCCCAGGTAGGTCGGCAGCTGCTTTGCTTTCCTATAATTAAGATAATTGGATGCTTCAACAATGGCAAGGAAGAGCATCCATCGGAGCGGCAAGTGACGGACGAGCTTCTCTGCAGGGAGCGTGGAATTGCTAGCATTGCGCCAGTTAGGAAATATTTGAGGAGTCCAGCTAAGTTAGCACATCCCTGGAAATTGGAGGAAATTATTCTTGGCTGTATTCGACCCAAAGCAAGCAATGAAGAAGCAATGGCAGCCAGTGCTTAAATGTATAGACAAAGGCGGGCAGACAGGCTCAAATGTGGGCCACCAGCCCTCTCTACCTGGCCCTCAGAACTCTCCCTAGGCCACGCCTCCAATCCCCAGCCACACCCCTCACCAGCCCTGATTAACAGCCAAGTGTTTCTGCCTGGCTGGATATGTGGCCTTGAACTCTGGCCATGCCTCTTGCCCAGGCATAGGCAAACTCGGCCCTCCAGATGTTTTGCAACTACAACTCCCATTATCCCTGACCACTGGTATACTGTTAGCTGGGGATGATGGGAGTTGTAGTCCCAAAACATTTGGGGGGGCCCGATTTTGCCTATGCCTGCTCTTGCCTCTCTGGATGGGAGGACCAAGGAGGGTGTGTGGGGAAGCCATCCCACAAAGGTAAAAAATTATATTTGTTGTACCTGGACCTTTGTCCCTGGCCCTTAGAAAGTTGCCCAGAAGGGAGTGCAGCCCTCAGGGTGTTGTAGGGATGTTTTGCATTGGAGCTACTTTCATGCAGGCAACTGCCCCTGTGCCTCACATTTGAGAGGCGGTGCGGTATAGCAGTGAAGAGTCCCAAGCTAGGATCTGGGAGACCGGGGTTCGAATCTTCCTCAGCCACGAAGCCCGCAGGGTATCAGGGACTGGACAGAGGAGGAATGGTGGAGATCGCCTCCCCAACTTGAGCCTTCCAGAGAAGAGGAAGACAGTACAGCGGTGCCTCTGGATGCGAACGGGATCCGTTCCGGAGCCCCGTTCGCATCCTGAGCAGAACGCAACCCATGTCTGCACGTGCGTGGGTCGCGATTCTCCGCTTCTGCGCGGGCGCGCGACGTCATTTTGAGCGTCTGCGCATGCGCGAGTGGCGAAACCCGGAAGTAACCTGTTCCGTTACCACGGAACGCAACCTGAAAACGCTCAACCTGAAGTGACTTTAACCCGAGGTATGACTGTGTAGATTTACAACAGTGGTTTGCGGGAGGTCATAGCTCAGCGGCAGAGGAGGAGAGAAGCTGGGAAATAATGGGGGAAGAGGAGGGGGAAGCAGAGCCGGAGCACCTGGCTGACACCTTATCACTAGAAAGCATCCCAGACCCCCCTTCTCCCAGAACCCGGCGAGCATTGAAAGTAGGAGAGCAAAGGGCTCAGAGACAAATGGCAGAGACAATATTCTCTGTGAATATTGAATTAAAAACCTTGGTAAGAACTCTCCTTGTTTATTTGTTCCTGGCAGCCTACTGTGGGGTGGGTGGCGATGATCGGATTCCCTGACACCCAACATGGGGTGGCCTCGTGGCCCAGCCGGTGTGTCACTGACTGACCTACCTCGCAGGGTTGTTGTGGGTATAAAAGACAGAGGAGAAGGCGGAATCGAAATGTGAAACTGAACGGCGACATCCTGTCGTTTTGACTGCATGCTTCTCCCTCCTTTTCCCAGACCTACGGGGTCCGTGCCACCAGCCAGCAGTGCAGTGAGGCTGGCGACATCTGTGCCATCTGCCAGGCCGAGTTCCGGGAACCCCTGATCCTCTTATGCCAGGTAATGTGGACTGGCTGGGTGCAGGGCAGCCTGGGCAAAGTGGCGCTGTCCTCACCCAGCTTGCTAAGTTGCCTTCTGGGCTTAGTTTGCCAAAGTGGGGGAGAAAATGATCAGACAAATTGCAGGTGTCACAGCGGTACACAGACACGCACAATGGCATTTTCCATGAAATCTTGCTCAACATGGAGCTTGAACGCACAACCCTGAGTTTAAGAGTGTCATGCTCTTGATTTGTCTGGGAAGAGTACGCTGTTAGTTCCTAATACTGAAAAGAGGGCTTTTTGTCTTGCAGCAGCCAGTGGGGAGGGGGGCACATTGGAGAAGCTTAGATCCTAATTACTTTTATTTACTTTAGTTTTTGAATGCCTGGGAAGCTATCCTCCCCCCCCCTTGCATATATCAACACTTTGAAATTCATTAAAAAAAATGGAAGGAAAAAAGAATTGGGGATAGGGTAAAGATTTCAGCCTCCTAGAACTGGCCCCGGCGCCAGCCTCAAGCAGCCTTGGGCACCTGCCAGCACCCACCAGCGCTCGTGTCTTTGTGGCTCTCGAGCAGCAAGTTACTAGTCAACATTTTTTTATTTAAAAAAAATGAATTTCCGCACAGTGCCACAGAGGGGTGCTCATTCAGATACTCTGGCGCCCCTCCTGCCAGTCCTTTCCATTGCTACATGCGCACTGCTTCCTGCTCATTATACACCATCCTGCATTTTCAGCTCCGTTCGCCTCTGTAGAAGGTCCTGGGTTCCATAATAATGACAATAACCTTTGCTCCTTTTGCCTATAAAGCACGTCTTTTGCGAAGAGTGTCTCTGCCTCTGGTTTGACCGGGAGAAGACCTGCCCGCTGTGCCGCTCTGTGGCCGTGGAGACCTTGCGGTGTTGGAAAGACGGTACCACTTCGGCTCATTTCCAGGTGTATTAAACAGATGAATAGAATGGCGTCTCTCTCCTTCTTTCTCTTTCTTTTTCTCTTTCTCCTTCTTTGGTGGTGGAAAAAAGGAGTGTTTGCCTGCATGCTTACCTGAAGTCATTGTAACCCTGCTCCCCTCCCATCTTCCTGGAGCCTCGCATCTTCTCTCAGGACCTGCCAGGAGGTGTGAAGAACGCCCTCCTTTCATACATTTGATATGTGTGTTGGCCTCTTCTGCTCAGAGCAAACTAGGCTCTTAAGGGAAGGGAGGGAGAGCATCTGCTTTGAATGCAGAAGGTCTCTGGTTCAATCCCAGCATCTGTCCCAGGAGGGGGCTGGGAAAGATCCCCTCTGTTTGAAACCCTGGAGGGTTGCTGCCAATCAGTGTAGGCAGTATTGAGCTAGGTGGACCCAAGGATATGGGTCAACCTTCTGTTTACTTCCGTCCTTGATTTGGATACATGAGGACTAGAATCTTACACACACACACTCTTTTTCAAGGGGAAGAGCCATCGCTTAGTGGCAGAACATCTGCTTTGCATTCAGAAGGGCTCATGTAGAGGTGGGAAAGCCAGAGCGTCACTGTGTTGGCTGTACTGAGCTAGATTGGCCAATGGCCGCACTTGGTAGAAGGCAGCCTCCAGGTTAATTCCAATCTTCATTTGGAATCATGAGGACTAGCGTCTTCTTTTTAAGGAAAAACTCCATAGCTCACAGCTAATAATAATAATAATAATAATAATAATAATAATAATAATAATAATTTATTATTTATACCCCACCCATCTGGCTGGGCTTCCCCAGCCACTCTTGGTGGCTTCCAACAAAATATTAAAATACAGTAATGCATCAAACATTAAAAGCTTCCCCAAACAGGGCTGCCTTCAGATATCTTCTAAAAGTCTGGTAGTTGTTTTTCTCTTTGACATCTAGTGGGAGGGCGTTCCACAGGGCGGGTGCCACTACCGAGAAGGCCCTCGGCCTGGTTCCCTGTAACTTGGCTTCTCGCAGTGAGGGAACTGCCAGAAGGCCCTCGGCGCTGGACCTCAGTGTCCGGGCAGAACAATGGGGGGTGGAGATGCTCCTTCAGGTATTCTGGACCGAGACCGTTTAGGGCTTTAAAGGTCAGCACCAAGTTGATGGACCAACTCAGTATTACACACCTTCTCATGTTCCTATAAATGTTCGGAAGCGAGTGGGGGGTCTGATGGGCACATCACTTGAATTTTTTCTGAATGCCGAGCATCTTCTTTATGTGCAGAAGGTCTCAGGTACTTCTGAGAGAGACTGCAGAGCTGCTGCCAGTCCCTGTCGGCAGTTATGAGCCAGGTGGACCCAAGGGTATGGCTGAGTGTTAAGGTAGCTCTCTGCGTTCATAATGGAGGCACCAAACACCTTGTTTCCACCTCTCTTACGTTTTGGGTGGCCTAAAGGGAAGGACTTGTTCACAACGGCTCATAATTAACCGAGGGAATTGGCAACCCCATGCTTCAGCGATGGCCCACTCAGTTAATACTGTTTTAAAAGAGGTATTGGACAGATATTTCACAGGGAATATACCTATCAATTGTCGTAATGGCAAAATGGAGCTTCTCTGTCTAGAGACATTCTACCAGCCTCAGGGGTACAACAAGGGCTCTTGCCTTCTCACCCTGCTTTATGGGCTTTCTAGAGGCATCTGGTTTGCCACTTTTAAAAATGGGATTGAATCATAGAATAGTAGAGTTGGAAGGAACCCCAAGGATCATCTAGTCCAACCCCCGCACAACGCAGGAATATACAGCTGTTCCAAGTGGGGATCGAACTTGCAACCTTGGCATTATCACAACCATGCATCCCTGACCACTGGTCCTGTCAGCTAGGGATCATGGGAGTTGTAGGCCAAAACATCTGGAGGGCCGCAGGTTGGGGATGCCTGCTCTAACCAGTTGAGCTATCCAGGCAGAATTGGATGGAGCTTTGATTTGATCCATCCGGGCTCTTTTGTTTGGTCGAGGAATCTGTGTTTCCTCCCACATGTTCCCTGAAGAGCTGATTTCCATGAGATTTGGGGAAGCCTGACCACCAATAACCTCTGGCCTGCATGCCCGCAGGGTCAACATCACCCCTGTGTTTAACATGGGGTTGTCTTTTGAGAAAACAGTATCGGATACCAGAGTTTCCTTTTCCCCAGGGATGGGCAGCCTGGTTCTCCTCCAGATGCTGTTGTACTCCAGATCCCATCATCCTCAGAGAGTGTGGTCAGTGGTCAAGGATGATGGGACTTGGAGTCCAACAACACCTGGAGGACCACAGGCTCCCCACCTCTGATTTTTAATTCCTTCAGCGTGATCAACATTGGTCCAAAAGGTTATTTGCATCAACCATCTAGGTGTTTAGGATTCTAGTATATATAAGGAAGGTGTGTAATGAAATCATCAAACAGCTCTTCAGAGAAGCTTCTGGGTCCTGGCAGGGTGCAGTTAATCACTCACAAACCGTATGTTTGTCATGGTGGCTAACGAAACAGAAATTTTAAACTCTTATAGCCAAACATCATTTCCTCTGATTAAATGATGCTGTTTTCAAGGTGGCTGTTATTGAGGATCATAGAATCATAGAATTGGAAAGGGGAGCATGCGGGTCATCTAGTCCAACCCCCTGCAATGCAGGAATCTTTTGCCCAACGTGGGATTCGAACCCACAACCCTAAGATTAAGAGTGCTCTTATACCATTTTATAGGAAAACCATCTGGTCCAGGTGATTTCCCATTTCCCATTGTTTCTATTTCATTCTCAATATCTGATACCTTCAGGGGGGCTGATAGCATATCTTTTTTATATTCTTCAATGGTTGGTAGTTTAATATCCTGAGAAAAGTTTTCCACCTCATCCTCTGGTATGTTTTCTGGCCCTTCATATAGCTTTTTGTAGAATTAAATGTTTTTGTTATTTACGGTATATCTGTTGATGAGGTTGCTGTGATGTTGTTTTCCTTTCTTATTAAAGGTATTATTTTGTTCGTTTTCTTCTGTTTTAGACGATTAGCTAGAATTTTTGTCGGTCTTTCTCCCTGTTCCCAATATGTTTGCCTTAGACATAATAAGCTGAACTCAATTTTTTGAGCTAGTATCTTATTCAGCTCTAGTGTTTGTTGTTGTATTCTTCCATATGTAACCCTGAAGCTAAGCGATGGTGGTACCACCCTTAAGTTGAATCCATGATTCCAATATGTAAGCTCTCTGTTAATATAAGCAGCATTTCCACAGAGCTTCCACAAGCTTCTTGCCAATGGACTCACATTAAATGAAGCTTGCTCCATTGGATGGGGGCGTTGAGCACCCTGCAAGCTACCTCTGTGTGTGGATTTCAGTGTAAATGGAACTTTGTACCGTGTGTCCCTTCCCATCTAGCGTCTTGCCACACACTACTGCTCTATTGGCTCAAGACTCCCTGCTCCTCTCTTGCCTTTCTCCCCATTCATGTAGACAGACTCGGTAGAGTTGGAAGGGACCACAAGGGGTCATCTAGCCCAACCCCCTGCAATGCAGGAATTATTCCACCCAACATGGGATTTGAACCCACAAACCTGAGATTGAGAGTCTCGTGTTCTACCGACACAGCTATTCCTCTTGTGATGCACCAGCTCCTGCATGAAGATCCTGGGAACCTGTAGCTTAAAGGGAGTACTTTGCAAAGCTAAACCGTGGAACTTGCTCCCAACAAGGTGTTGTGATGGTGGCCAACTTGGTTATTAGGCAAATTTGTGCAGGATAAGGCTATCCATGGCTACTAGCCACAGTGACTGTGTTGTGCCTCCCCTGTTGGAGGCAACCTGTTTGGCCACTGTAAAGACAGGATGTTGAATGTCTTTGGCCTTTGTGTTCCTGGTGTTTCAACCGAGGTTAAGTCTGACTTTCCCAGATTCTGGCAACCATCCAGAGTTTCATAAGCCTACAGAGGTACCTTGGTTCTCAAACGCCTTGGTCCTCAAACAACTTGGAACTCAAAGACTGCAAACCCGGAAGTGTGTGTTCCGGTTTGCGAACGTTTTTCGGAAGCCAAACGTGCTCCGTTTCGAGTGCCACGCTTCCAATTTGAGTGTTACACTGAGGTCTGTCAGTTTTTGCTATTTATTTTGTGTTTGTGTTTTTGCGGCTCTTTGTGTTTTGTTTTTGTGACTGCATGGAACCCAGTTCAGCTACTGATTGATTGATTGTGCAACTGCAGTACATTGTTTATTGCTTTCATTTTGTGGATCACTGGTCTCGTTAGATAGTATTCATGTTAAATTGCTGTTTTGGGCATTGTTTTAAAAGTCTGGAACGGATTAATCCATTTTGCATTACTTTCTATGGGAAAACGTGCCTTGGTTTTGGAACACTTTGGTTTTGGAACGGATTTCTGGAACGGATTAAGTTTGAGTACCAAGGTACCACTGTAATAGTGATTATAATGGGAATGGAGCTTGCATCATTTCCCCACCTCCCTATTTATCCTCACGACAACCCTGTGAGGTAGGCTGAGAGGCAGTGATGCTTTCCCTTTCACCGTGCCTCTCCTGGTAACCCCTCCATCCTAATCCCCCAAAATGCAGTTCTGTAAAAACTTAAAATATTGCGCTTAGAATGAATCACACCGGTGACATTTGACGTATGAACCTATATTGGAAACGCATTTGTATTGGGCAGTTCTGTTGGTTCTGTGATCATGGTACATGGTTCTGTGATCATGGCACATGGTTTCTGGGCCCGACTACCCCGATTTAGCTGTAGGTACATTGGACAATAAGTTTGTGTGCATTGTGCCTCTGTGTTTGTCCAAGTCTAGGTGTGTGTGTGTGCACACTAAAATGTACCGTCTACCCCACTGGAAGTAATTGCCACACCTCAACAAGGACAGGTCTCCAGATGGCTTGGGATTGGTGGAGCTGGTTGTCAGTCTAAGGCAAGGTTTCCCAAACTTGGGCCTCCAGCTGTTTTGGGACTACAGTTCCCATCATCCCTGACCACTGCTCCTGCTACCTAGGGATGATGGGAGTTGTAGT